CGGGCGCCAGGGTCCCTATCCGGGACGGCTGCTCAGGCCTTTTCCTGGTCCCAGAAAGACTCAAAGCCCGTGGGTGCACGTACCTGTGTGTGCTCGTGCGCCGGGGTACGCGTGCACGTGTCTGTGCAGGTGCTGGAGAGAGGACGGGGGACCCTCCGGATCCGGGCCCCCCTCCGGTCTAGGGAGCCACGGTCTTCAGGCCTGCGCCTGCCTTCAGCTCTGGAGTGCTCACCAGGTAGGTGGCCGTTTGTCTCAATAAAATCTTCCTGCGAATGCCCACCCACTTTCTCTTCTGCAGCATCACATTTTCTTTCCCTATTGGGTCAAAATACGCTAAGAATCATTTTACTTAAAAAAAAAATATTTCTTGCCGAGACCGGTTTGGCTCAGTGGATAGAGCGTCGACCAGGGGACTAAAAAATCCCAGGTTCGATTCCGGTCAAGGGCATGTACCTTGGTTGCGGGCACATCCCCAGTGGGGGTGGTGCAAGAGGCAGCTGATCAATGATTCTCTCTCATTGATGTTTCTAACTCTCTATCCCTCTCTCTTCCTCTCTGTAAAAAATCAATAAAATATATATTTTAAAAAATATTTCTTTATTGATTTCAGAGAGGAAGGGAGGCGAGAGAGACAGAAACATCAATGATGAGAGAAGAATCACCTCGTGCACACCCCCTACTGGGGAGCAAGCCTGCAACCCAGGCATGTGCTGTTGGCCGGAATGGAACCTGGGACCCTTCAGTCCGCAGGCTGATGCTCTATTCACTAAGCCAAGCCGGCTAGGGCCATTTGACTTTTATGTGTTTTTGTTTTGTTTTGTTTTGTTTACAGAGGAAGGGAGAGGGATAGAGAGTTAGAAACATCAATGATAGAGCAACATCAATCAGCTGCCTCCTGCACGCCCCCTCTGGGGATGTGCCTGCCACCAAGTTACATGCCCTTGACCGGAATCGAACCTGAGACCCTGTAGTCCACAGACCGACGCTCTATCCACTGATCTAAACCAGTTAGTGCACATTTGACTTTTATTTTTTATTTATTTTATTTTTTTAAAAATATATTTTATTGATTTTGTACAGAGAAGAAGGGAGAGAGATAGAGAGTTAGAAACTCAATGAGAGAGAGTCATCGATCAGCTGCCCCTTGCACACCCCCTACTGGGGATATGCCCGCAACCAAGGTACATGCCCTTGACCGGAATCGAACCCAGGACCTTTCAGTCCCCAAGCCGACGCTCTATCCATTGAGCCAAACCGGCTTCAGCACATTTGACTTTGAAATAGTATATATTTTTATTGATTTAAGAGAGGAAGGGAGTAGAGAGAGAGGTAGAAACATCATTGGTGAGAATCATTGATTGGCTGCCTCCTGCACGCCCTCTACTGGGGAGCAACCGGGAATGTGCCCTGACCAGGAATCGAACCCAGGACCCTTCAGTCCACAGGCCTAAGCTCTATCCACTGAGTCAGACTGGCTAGGGCTGATTTTTTTTTAAAGAATCACTTGGAAAAAAAAAAAAAAGAATCATTTGAGGGGCCGGACCCGTCCATTCCAACTTGGCCTTCAGTCCTCCTTTTGCCCACAGCATCAAGGAGAGCCTTCAGCTGCTGGTGGATAGGCCCCCCAGCGCCTGCTGTTTCAGGCAGCACCACGTGAGTGAGAAGATCCAGAAGTTGGCCACCAACATCTCTGGTGACAAGCTGGTGTCGCTGGGGACTTGCTTTGGAAAATTCACTAAGACCCACAGATTCTGGTTGCACAACACAGCTCTGGATTACCTTGCACCCTATGCCCAGTACCAAGTGTGGATAAAGCCTGGAGCAGAGCAGTTGTCCTGAATGGGAACCACGTGTTAAAATCTGGACTGGGTGGTATCACTGAAAACACGTCTCAGTACTGGGGAGTGGTGGTGTACTCCATGGCAGACATTCCTGAGAGTTTTGGGGTGGCAGCAACGTCTACACAAGACTGCAGGAAAGTAGCCCTAACTGGTTTGGCTCAGTGGATAGAGCAGCAGCCTGAAGGCTGAAGGGTCCCAGGTTCAATTCTTGTTAAGGGCATGTACCTTGGTGGCAGGCACATCCCCAGTAGGGGGCGTGCAGGAGGCAGCTGATTGATGTTGCTCTCTCATTGGTGTTTCTAACTCTCTATCCCTCTCCCTTCCTCTCTGTAAAAAAATCAATAATAGCCGAAACCGGTTTGGCTCAATGGATAGAGCGTCGGCTTGGGGACTAAAGGGTCCCGGGTTTGATTCCGGTCAAGGGCATGTACCTTGGTTTCGGGCATATCCCCAGTAGGGGGTGTGCAAGAGGCAGTTGATGATTCTCTCTCATCCATCAGCTGTTTCTAGCTCTCAATCTCTCTCCTTTCCTCTCTGTACAAAATCAATAAAATATATTTTTTAAAAATCAATAATTTTTAGGAAAGTAGACTCCATGGCAATTGTGGTATTCCATCGAGCAGACATTGGGGAATATGTGCAACATGAAGAGACATTGACTTAAAATCATCGCAAGGTCTTATGGCTGTGTGGAAGGCCTGGCTTTGTTTCCTTTGAGCAGGCTCCATCATGTTGAATTTGGTCAACACTGTGATGTCTCCAGGGACTTCTTAGCTTAACATGGACAAATGCAGGCTGGATTCTTTTTTATTTTTATTTTTTATAAATATATTTAGGTGGGAGGATGACGGGACTGGGAGCACTCACGCGCCCAGGGAGGAGAGGGTGGGTGGGTGAGGTCAGAGCACCCACTGAGGGCTGTGTCTTTTCGGGGCTCACACACACCTTGCTGTAGATTGGGGACATCTGCAGCCACTTACATTTTCATTACTATGGAGACTGCCGCAGACACCTGGGCTCAGTCCTGCTGGGGACCTGATCTGAAGGACATACGTACTGGATTTCCCCACCCAAGGAGCACATCAGGAACAGAGGTCTGCCCACTCCGGAATGCTCCGCTGCTGTCCCCAGGCATGGGGTCCCTGTGCCTGCAGTCGATGCTGCTGCCCATACACATGGCAACAACTGGGTCTACTATGTCTGTTTTTACTTTTTGTCTGCGTACCCCGTGACTGCCCCTTTGTTTTAGGTTCTTGTGATAATTTATCGAGGGAGAAGAGAGATTTTTGTCCTGCCATTTTTGTCTGGCACCACCGGACTCCATCACAACATAGGATGTCAGGCCTAGAGCACCATTGGAGCACCTATGGGGTGGGAGAGAAGAGAAATGGCTGCCATCTCTGGGTGATATACAGGGATCTCTTTACATAATATGAAACTTGTCTCCCACTTGACTATGGAAAGGCATCTAAGTTTCTTTCTCTGGTGCTTACATAAAAATAGACTTAAGAACTAAAAAGGGACTGACCATATTTTCTCCCAAGCCCCAGGCACTTGCACACACCAATGAACTCCTGATTTCTCTCCTCTGCTGTCAGAAAATTAATAGAAACTGACAGCTGATGAGACTTTCACACTGGGTGTATATTTGCTGATGACTCATTAAGAATTCAGCCAAGGTGCCAGTTGTTCTTCCGATATAGAAAGAAAAACTATTTTAAGCAAAACTGTAACCTCACTGGTGCTAGTATCACAGCCGCAGGAAATCCACGTAATGTGGGTTTCGCGCCAGACTTTCACCCAGTGCAACCCTAGGTCCCGGGCCCACGCACGCCCCGCCCCCATATGCTCCGCCCAGACCCCGCCCCATATACTCGCCAGGCCCCGCCCACCATATGCTCCGCCCATGCCCACGCCCCGCCCTCCGGGCAGCCTGCACCGTCCCTTCTCAGCCCCACAGACAACAGCCCGGCCTCTGGGCGATTCACACCGGCCCGGCCGCGTGGAGGAGGTGGAAGGCAGAGCTGGGGTTCTGGCCGGGTCTGTCCCAGCAGCCCGAGCCCGCACCCTCCACCACTCAAACTGGGTGTTTGGGGGAAGTGGAAATCCTACTCCTTGGTGAAGGAGAGAGGCTTTGGTTGGGAATGCATGTTGAGCTTAATGTAGTCTCTCTCTCTCGCTTTTTTTTAAAAATACGTTTTTAGTGATTTTAGAGAGAGGAAGGGACAGGGGTGGAGAGATTGAAACATCGATGGGAGAGAGAGGCATCGATGGACTATCTCCGAGCGCCCCCTACTGGAGATCGAGCCTGCAGTCCAGGCCTGTGCCCTGACCTGGAGTCACACGGGGACCTCTGGGGCCATGGGTCCACGCCCACCCACTGGATTACCGGCGGGCAGTGTGGTATTTGACGTGGGGTGCAGCAAGGCTGGCTGGGTGCCGGGAAGGAAACCCCCACAAAGCAGCCACCCATAGCTGGGCTCGGGAGTAAAGCCCATCACCCTCCCTGTGTGGGCGGGCCTCGCCTCTCAGTAACAACACAGAGCAACACTGACCTCCCCGAAGGAGAGCACATCCGTCTGCAGGACTGGTCTGCCTTCGGACACTGTCTCGCACCTCCACAGTTGTGTGAGCCGGTTCCTTTAAATAAACCATTCCATATGTATGCACATCCAGGTGGTTTGGTTTCTCTGGAGAACCCCGACTAACACAGGGAGCAAAGAGGACTTTTTTCCTTTTTAAAAAAATATTATATATATTTTATTTCATTGAGGAAGGGGGAGGGAGAGAGAAATGGAAACATCAATGGTGAGAGAATCACTGTTAGGCTGCCTCCAGCACGCCCCCTACTGGGGATGGAGCCCGCAACCCGGGCCTGTGCACTGACCGGGAATCAAACCCTGACCTCCTGGTTCATAGGTCAGGGGTTAACCACTGAACCTCACCGGCGGGGACAGGCTATTCTGAGACCACCAGAGCCCCCAGGGCCCCGCCCCCACCCGGAGTCACCCGGCATAGCCCCGCCTCCACGCAGGTTTCTCCGCCTCCTCCTGGCGTCACCTAGCTCTCACCCAATCCCTGCGCGTCATACAGGCCCCGCCCACACAGCCCTGCCTCTCATCCAATCCCTGGCCTTCCTTCGTCCCCGCCCCTACGTGACGTAGGCGCGTCGCCTAGCCCCAGGCCTCTGGGCGCCGTCGCCGGCGTGCCCGCCGCCTGAGGCGAACCCGCAGGGAACATGGAGGAGCTGCTGAGGCGGGAGTTGGACTGCAGCTCCGTCAAGGCCACGGGCCACTCAGGGGGCGGGTGCATTAGCCAGGGCCAGAGTTACGACACGGACAAAGGACGCGTGTTTGTGAAAGTGAACGCCCAGCCCGAGGTCAGGGCCGCCGCGAACCGAGGGGCCGAGGGGCCGAGGGGGCGGGGGGCGGGGTCCGCCGGCCGGGCCCGCGGGCTGGGCGGAGGCTGGGGGCGGGGACGGGGCCCGGCTGAGGCCGGGGCGGGCGGGGCGGCGCTGCCCGTGGCCTGGCGCTTGTGGGGTCGGCACCGCCCGCTCGGCCTGTGTGGGCGCCGCACCCCCAGGAGCTGAGGAGCCGCCCACGCCCGTCCCAGTGCGGAGTGGACGCAGTGCTGCTCCAGGCCCGTCCCCAGTGCGGGTGGACGCGGTGCTGCTCCACGCCCGTCCCCAGTGCGGGTGGACGCGGTGCTGCTCCAGGCCCTCCCCTGTGCGGGTGGACGCGGTGCTGCTCCAGGCCCGTCCCAGTGCGGGTGGACGCGGTGCTGCTCCAGGCCCGTCCCAGTGCGGGTGGACGCGGTGCTGCTCCAGGCCCTCCCCAGTGCGGGTGGACGCGGTGCTGCTCCAGGCCCGTCCCAGTGCGGAGTGGACGCGGTGCTGCTCCAGGCCCTCCCCAGTGCGGGTGGACGCGGTGCTGCTCCACGCCCTCCCCTGTGCGGGTGGACGCGGTGCTGCGGGTGGGTGGCTTCGAGACCGATGAGCCGCTGCTTGGAGAGAAGGCGCATTTGTCAGGGTTCAGGTTCGGACAGGACACAGGCAGCCGCCGCCTCGTGTCTGGGGTCGCCTGGACTTGCAGCGCGCACCCGCCCTGACCATTGGAGTGATGGAGGTGCTGGCTGCCGGACCCACAGGCGCGGCGGTCTCACCACAAACACCCATTTCCCCGTTTCTGGGGTCTGGAAGCCCCGCGCAGAGGCCTGAAGAGAGACCAGACGACCTCCGAGCGGAAGGCGGGGAGCCCTGGGCCTCCGAGGGCGCCAGTCCCACCCGGCGGGCCCACCTCCTGCCACCATCACCCGGGTCAGGTCTCCACGTAGAAAAGTCTTTTACGCATTTTTTCTTAATGCTTTACTTTTTAGGAGGTGAAAATGCCCTCTTTCAGACTTGTCAGAAAAGACCTTAGTTGCTCTCCCATTACCCTTCTCACACCTGTGCAGTTGCCCTGTCTGCTTGTTTCACCTCCTGATTATTCTTTAAAAAATAAATAAATATATATATTTTTATTTTTATTGTTTTTTTGTTTGTTTTTTTTACAGAGAGGGAGAGAGGGATGAAAGAGAAACATCGATCAGCTGCCTTCTGTGCACCCCTCCTCCCCACTGGGGATGTGCCCGCAACCAAGGTACATGCCCTTGACTGGATTCGAACCTGGGACCCTTCAGTCCACAGGCCGACGCTCTATCCACTGAGCCACACCAGTTAGGGCCCCTCCTGATTATTCTTATCTGTCCCCCGCACACTGTGTGATTGGCTCATTTGTAGCCCCAACCCTTTCGCCTGGCTCCGATGTTTGTGAGGGCCCTTGTGTTCTCAGATCCTCCTTCACCTCTGCCTGCGTTAAAAATCCATCCCCTTTCTCTTCAAAACCAGCGCTCTAGGACAACATACAGCAGGGTCCAGGCTCCCTGTATCTTCTAGAGAGAATGCTCTGAAAATTATTCTTAAGACACAGTTTTGTTTGTTTTTTTAATTTTTGTTGATTTGAGAGAAACTTCCATTTGTTGTTCCACTTGTACATTCGTTGAATGATTCTTGTATGTGCCCTGACCAGGTGTTCGAACCCACAACCTTGGCATATAGAGATGACACTCTAACCAACTGAGCTTCCTACCTGGTCAGGGCAAGACACTGTTCTTACCTTTCTCCTCAGTGACTGTAGCTCTTGATGGTAATATAATATTTAAAAAGTGATTAGAATGGATTATGTGCTAGTTGCTAACTTAATCATGGCAGCAAGCCCATGATATTGGTACTGTTATTAACCCCATTTTACAGATGAGGACACTGAGGCACAGAGAGCGTAAGTAACTTGCCAAAGGTCACAGAATTAGTAATTATGAGGACATGTAGAAGAATGTCCATGGTGGCCCTGTTTGTAATAGCCCCAATTGGAAGCCCATCTGTCCGTCAACAGTAGACGGGATGAGCACGTGACGAGGAAGGAGCTGGCTTGGCAAAAGGCGGGGGTTAGTGTTCCAAGAAGAGGTGCGCGGAGTGAGGAGGCTTCGAGGCTGGCGGAAGCAGGCAGTCTTTAAGAACGTAAAGGAAGGCTGCAATCCAGGAGCACAAGGGGGGTGTGTGCATGTCCGTGTAAGGGGGGGAGCCCAGGCAGGGCCCTGGGTGAGGATGGGAGTGGGCAGGGTCAGAGCCTGTGGGACGAGCAGGATATAGGCAGAGGTGGTAACTCAGGGAGTGTTCCAGGGTGGGATTTGCCTTCCATAATCATTTACTTCAGTTGGGTGAGCAGGGAGACCAGGGAGGATGGTCACTGCAGTCCAGGGGGAACAGGACTTTTGGACTAGGGTGGAAAAGGTGTTCAGGATGATAGTTTCCAGTGCTCGTAGGAGATGTCCTAGAACTTGGTGGTCCATTCAGATGAAAAGTGACCACAGGTCCTGGCATGTGCAGACCAGAGGCCACCTGCACCTTTGGGCTCAGTTACCAAGAACTTGCTGCCTGACGTGCACAGAAGCCAATGCAATGACATTGGCTTCTGGTAAAAGAAAAGGCTTTATTGCAACTCAGCTGGCAGTGAGACAAGGCTCAAATCTGTCTCCCCGATTGTGGGTTTGGGTGAAACTTAAGGGGTTAGGGAAGGCTGGCTAGCCTGTGGAAGTGCTGCAGGGCAGGTTTCTTTCTTTTTTTTTTTTTCCTTTTTTTTTTTTTTTTTAAATATATTTTATTGATTTTTCACAGAGAGAAAGGGAAAGGGATAGAGAGCTAGAAACATTGATGAGAGAGATACATCGACTAGCCGCCTCCTGCACACTCCCCACCGGGGATGTGCCTGTAACCAATGTACATGCCCTTGACCGGAATCGAACCTGGGACCTTTCAGTCCACAGACCGACGCTCTATCCACTGAGCCAAACCGGTTTCGGCTGCAGGGCAGGTTTCAACTGAAGGCCTCAGCACTGGATCCTGGACAGTGGACCGGTGACTAAGTGCCAGTCAAGTCCCAGGTCTTTGGTTTGGTGGTGGTGATGGTGGTGGATGGGTATTACTGAAAGTCAGAATTCTCTCCTCTGAGCATACTGGAGTTTTGTCCTGTTGTCCCTGGAAAACAAGTCAGTATCTTGTTAGAATTAGGTAAGGCCAGTGGGTAGTTCTGTGTTTGCTATGGGACAGGACTGTGTTTGAGGTACTCCTGAGGGTGATTGCGCCTGGCACTCGGTGGAGTATTAGGAGCTGACACTCCCCATCGGGAGGGAGTTTGGCCTCAGTGATAGCACAGCAATGTAGACCAACACTGCCAAGTACCGTCTACTCCTGTGCAGCGTCCGACGTACAATCTGCCCTACAGAAAAGCTCAAAAAGCTGTTTGTATTGACTGCAGTCAGGGCAGCCCTGGCTTAGAATTGTAGCCTGAGAAAACCTGTCTACCTGGGGCCTTTCCAGAAGTGATCTCGCTCGCTCTCCTTCCCCTCCATTAATTTTCCTGACAGGCTAGAAGAATGTTTGAAGGTGAGATGGCCAGTTTAACTGCCATCCTGAAAACAGACACAGTGAAAGTGCCCAAGCCCATCAAGGTCCTGGATGCCCCGGGAGGCAGCAGTATGCTGGTGATGGAGCATTTGGACATGCGATACCTGAGCAGGTACGTCTTGGCGCCTCCCCTCTGGGTGGCTTCGTTTTCTTTGGACTGGTCCCTCCATACCCGGAGCTTGCACTTGGGTATAACTTTGTGGGATGTGATACAAGGAATCTACCACCCACACACAGGGAGTATCCGCAAGCCAACGGCAACTGGAAGGGAATCTCTCAAGGTGAGATGCTCAGAGGACATGGCTGCAAGCTCAGATGAGGTCAGGAAAGACCGTCCACTAATGAGGGCCCATCAGCTCCCTCTTGCTTCACCAAAACAGACTTTATGTCCTCAAAATGTGGGACTTCCTTTATGTGGCCCAAGCCCTTGCAGGTGGACGAAGTTTCCTCACGTGTGTTACACGTTCTGTTGCTGCCTTTTGGTTTCAGTCATGCTGCCAAGCTTGGATCCCAGCTAGCAGACCTGCACCTGGAGAATAAGAGGCTTGGAGAGAAGCTGCAGAAGGAGGCCAGCACAGTGGGTATGGTATCTGTGGGCCAAGAGGAACCCCACCTGGAGGAGGACATTGGGTTCTTACGGGTGTCTGGGTGGGGTTATGCCACAGCCATATATTGAGGGTCAGGCCTGTGTGATGCCAAAGGAAGGAATGTCAACCCCAAGATGCATGTTTGGGGTGTGGTGACACAGTGAACGCAGTTTGTCTGCCATAAATGGCCACTGCGAGCATTCTGTCCTGGGCGCCCCCCGGCACCATCTGGTGTGTCTCTGGGAAGCAGTGGGTGCCTGCCTGTTACGTGTGCCAGAACAGGCTTGGTTCCGGGCCTGAGAGTGGTGGAGACCAGGCCCTGTGTGTCTCTGGGTGGGACTCAGGTGGAGAAGGCACGCCGACATCAGGTCTCAAGCTACGCTGAGCTCCAAGAAGGGGCCACGGGAGCAAGGCAGCTAGCTGTCTGTCCTGTTTTCTCTTGCTTTCAAGGGAGCGGAGGTGGGCAGGCGGAACGGCCCTTCATAGACCAGTTTGGGTTTGACGTGGTGACGTGCTGCGGATATCTCCCCCAGGTGAGTAATGTCTGCCCTTTCCTCCTCCTCCCCACTGGGGAAGCACGCCCTCGCCCTCTTTAGTGAAATTTAGTAAGTCTTTGCTCCCTTCCTTTTTTTGCTAATTTTTAAGAGGTTGACATGAGCTTTACCCCTTCCTGGGCTGTGTAAGCTCAGAGAAACAGAGAAGGCCAGCAAGTTAGAATGCTGGATTTCGAGGTGGGTAAAAACTAGAAAACTTTTAAATGTTTTATTTTAAATAGTAAGCTCTCAGAGGTGGCATAATGAAAGGGATGGTAACTTTCAGTTTTATGATTTTACGGTTGGCTCCCCGGGAATTCTCCTTGACGCCCTTCAAACGCAGAGTGGTTAGGGTGGAGGGTGTGTTCTCAGCGAAAGGCAGTGGCTCCTTGGAAGGGATCTGCTGTGGAAGACTTTCGGGGACTTTGTGGTGGGCACAGGGGTGCAAGAGGCACTACTCTGATTCTGAAATGTTTTGGAGGTTGTCCAGGAACCTGCCTGCATGGGGTGGCAAGTGGCTGACAGCTGTGCCTCCTGTTCCATGTGCTCGGGGTGTCTCAGCTGGCTCCGCTTCTCTCTCTCCCCCCCTGTAACTTGCTGGCTGGTTGTGTGCATGTGTCAGGGTGCATTTGTGTGAGAGTATAGGTGTGTGCACACGTGTGAGAGTATGTGTATGCGTTGTGAGTGAGTGCACTTTGTGAGCATGATACTCTGTCATTTGGCATCACGTACTGCCCCTGTGCTGTCCTGCTCTTGTGCATGTCTGTCTTGTCTCCCCCGCCTCCACCCCCATGGCCGGCACCTGAGGCCTGGAGGTCCTCTCGGCGGTCTTTTTGAACAGGGTTCCACGTGACTTCCCATGTTACCACTCTTGAGAGGGCAGTGCCAGCTGCCTGGGAGGGGCCGAAGAGGGGTCCTCTGTGGCCAGGTGGATGGACAGAAGTGAGCCACAGGGTCAGAGAAGGCCAGCCAGCTCTGGCCTCTGTGCTCCTGTGTGAGTATAGATCGAAAGAAAGCACCCCAAAGCAGGAAGAGATAAACCAAGAACTTGTATGCATGTACACACAGCATAGCCCGTGGACACAGACAATAGTGTGGTGAAGGCCTGGGCAGGGTGGGAACAGACTGGAGGGTATCAGTGGGGGACAAACGGGACATTTATAATACTTCCAACAATAAAGATAAGTTTTTAAAAAGAAAGGAAACATCCCAGAGATCATCAGAGGGACCCTGTTGCTCTGCACGGAAGGGCCCCGTGCTTCCGGTTGCTCCTGGGATAGGCTCTAAGGTCCCACCTGTCCATAAGCCCCAGGGGTCCCATCAGCTCCCACGCCCGTCCCTGCAGGAGTCTCTAGCAATCAGTCCTTCCCACTTTGGGGTACCTCCTTCAGGCCTGGCATGTGCCTCTGAGCTCGGCTTTCCCCTGTGCTGTTGCTTGTGCAGGTGAATGACTGGCAGAAGGACTGGGTCGCATTCTATGCCCAGCAGCGCATTCAGCCCCAGATGGACATGCTGGCGAAGGGGGCTGGGGACAGAGATGCCCTTGAGCTGTGGTCTGCTCTGCAGGTAAGTGCCCCGCTGTGCCCTGTGCTCACCATGCCCTGCAGCCCCACCAGGGAGAGGTGGCAGGCCAGGTACAGCACTGAGATGTGGCCTGATAGGAGGTGGGGGGCCGGCCAGTTGGATGGCAGGAGGTCACCCTGCCTGAGCCATGCATGGGCCATGCGCAGCCACACGTGGAAGAGTGTGCACCCCTCCCACGTGTGGCGCTTGATTTGCTGAGGTTGCCTTTCCTCCTCGCAGTTGAAGATTCCTGATTTGTTCCTTGATTTGGACATTGTGCCAGCTCTGCTCCACGGAGACCTCTGGGGAGGAAACGTGGCAGAGGATGTCTCTGGGCCCATCATTTTTGACCCGGCTTCCTTCTACGGCCACTCGGAGTACGAGCTGGCAATCGCTGGCATGTTTGGGGGCTTCAGCAGCAACTTCTACTCCGCCTACCACAGCAAGATCCCCAAGGCCCCTGGGTTTGAGAAGCGCCTGAAGTTGTATCAGCTCTTCCACTATTTGAACCACTGGAATCATTTCGGATCAGGGTACAGAGGGTCCTCCCTCAACATCATGAGGAACCTCATCTAGAGAGCTTGCTCTGCTCCGGAGGGGGCCCTGGGCGAGGAGCCTGCCGGGGCCTTCGGTTCGGATGTACCAGATCCTCACCCTCTGGCTCCCCCAGTCCTCTTCAGGGGTTCTGTCCCATTTCTTCACACACCTGGAGAGGCTTCAGACCACCTTTCCGAAAGCTGTTCGTTTCGTTAGACTCATGGTTGGATGACCCATGCTCATAATGTGAACAGAGGGACCTGCAGTGTGGGCCATGTCAAACCAAACAACTCCCCTCCCGTTCTGTCTCCAGGAATGACCCGCGTTCAGGATGATGCTACTCGATGGCTGAGGTGTAGTCTAGGCACCAAACTGTCTGACGAGGAGCATCTTACAACGCCCATTCCCCAAACTGAGCACATTCCCTTTGCTTTCTGTGTGACCTCTGGACCAGCCGCAGGCTGAGCAGGTCTGGAGATGATTTGGGGAGTGGCCAAACTGCGGCTTTGGGGTGTCCTTAGCAGATTCAGGAGCCACTGAATCTACTTCACACCCACCTGTCTGCGCTCGCTCAGCTTGCAGAGTGTCGTTCCTTTGCTTCAGACACGCCTGCACTCAGTCAGTGTTCCCCCTTGGTCTTGCAGGGATGAGGAGCGGTCATGAATGGCATTGATGCTAACAAATGCTTTTGTGTGAACTTCCCGTTGTTTCAATGATGCAAGGCACCATTTCCCTCAGTTAAACCATAACTCAATGTTTTTCCTAGATATTTGCCAAGAAGCCTTTGTAATGTGTTAGTGTAATAAATTGTTTCTTTAAGAGCAAATTTTTTCCTTGACTTCGTTGAATAAGAGATAGCTTCAAACTAAGGGCAAGTGTAGCCTGAGATAGTTCTAATATTTTACTCAGATGCAGGTTAGCTGCTGTTCCTCGTCACCCTGTGAGATCTGTGAACACAAGGGATGTTGAAAGCAACTGGATTGAATTTTAAGGAAGAAGCCCATTTGTGGCCACCAACTAGGTCTGGGACGGGGCTGGGAGCACCAGTGTTAGGACACTGGTTGTCTCCTCGAGGCTGGTGGGGAGGATAGATGCTTTTTAAAAAAATATATTTTATTGATTTTGTACAGAGAGGAAGGGAGAGGGATAGAGAGCCAGAAACGTCAATGAGAGAGAGTCATCGACCAGCTGCCTCCTGCACCACCACCCCCCCTCCCCCTGGGATGTGCCCGCAACCAAGGTATGTGCCCTTGACTGGAATCGAACCCGGGACCCTTCAGTCTGCAGGCTGATGCTATATCCACTGAGCCAAACCAGTTTAGGCTAGATTCATTTTTTCTCCTCTGCTTTGTGTGGGAAGGGAAAGGGGACTGTGACTTTAAGAGCTTGTAGTTTTCAAACTTTCAAACCTACCGGTAGTAATGCCTAGACTACTATGTGCTGAGCTTTTAGCTTTTTTTTCCTGATCCTGGGAAAACTGTTAACTGTCTCTGAGGGAAAGGATGCCGAGCCAGCTTCTGATGATGGCACGTGTGCTGTTGTACTCTTTTTCTAAAATTTTTCATTTATTTTTTTAATCCTCACCTGAGGATATTTTTCATTGAATTTTAAGAGAGAGTGGAAGAGAGGGAAAGACAGAGAGAAACATTGATGTGAGAGAAACACATCCATTGGAATCCAGCCAGGCCTGGGGGCTGGGAGGAGCCTGCAACCCAAGTATGGGGTACGTGCCCTTTAGACTGGAATCGAGCCTGGGACCCTTCTGTCCACAGGCTGATGCTCTCTCCACTGAGCCACACCAGCTAGGGCTGTTGTGCTGTGGACACAGACCTGCTTGCCAGATGGTTTGGTCCTGGGGTGCCCAGGCCTGAGGTCTTCCAGAGTTAGTCACCTGAACCTGCTCTCCTCGGTGGTTAATCAAGTTGGAGCAGACAGGTGCTGCGTGGAATGTGTATTTGTCCGGGTAGAGGGCCTTAGAAGCGGATCTGCATTTCAGATCCCTGTAACTGTGGGACCTGTGGAGTAGTGAGTGCCCGGGCTGATGTTTTGAACCAGGAGTCAGTGGTGAGAGGAAGGGACGCCTTCTGGCTCCTGGGGTCGGGGAGGGCTCACTCACAGGCCCCACTGGGTTCCGAGAGGCTGAGGAAGGGGAGGCAGCCTTCCCTGGTAGCTGGTCACCCGAGAAAGTGACAGGCCGCTGCGCTCTCAGGCCCGCTCCCGGAGAATCCTCTCGGTGCTGTGCCAGGTGCTGAGAACAGCTGCCTCTGCCCGCAGCAGCCCCTGGGCCCCGGAGCTCACTCGGCACAGCGCTGCCAGTCGTGAGAGCTGGGCCCGAGCTTTCCCCAGCCGTTAACAAGAACGGAGACATGCTACATGGCACCTGGGGGGAGGCGCAGGTGAGAGTCACCCCAAGGAGAGGGAGCGGGAGAGGCACAGGGGCAGGTGGTGCTTAACTGAATTGCTGTTTCTCTCCCTCTCCCTTCCTCTCTGAAGTAAATACAAATATACTTTAAAAATATTTGTAATAATAACAGTGTAATGCCTGTACGTTGTGCTGTGGTATAGAAGACAGTCAAATGGTGAATAAATAAAGTAAGTAAAGCCCAGCTGGTGTGGCTCAGTGGTTGAGTGTTGGCCTGTGAACCAGGAGGTCAGGGCACATGCCCGGTTTCAGGCTCGATCCCCAGTGTGGGGTGTTCAGGAGGCAGGTAATGGATGATTCTCATCATTGATGCTTCTATCTCTTTCTCCCTCTCCCTTTCTCTCTGAAACCAATAAAAAAATATATTTTTAAATATATTTTATTGATTTTCTACAGAGAGGAAGAGAGAGGGCTAGAGAGTTAGAAACATCGATGAGAGAGAAACACTGATCAGCTGCCTCCCGCGCACATCCCCCACTGGGGAGGTGCCCGCAACCTTAGGTACATGCCCTTGACTGGAATCGAACCCGGGACCCTTCATTCCGCAGGCCGACGCTCTACCACTGAGCCAAACCGGTTTCGGCAGTAAAAATACTTTTAAAAAATAATTAAAAAAATAAAGCTCCTCCTCATCGCTGTGGTCTCTGGTAATCAGGAGTCCCACGCGGGTGGGGTCAACCTCCTTGCCTGGTATCAGAAGCTCCAGAGCTGCTTGTCTTGCTGATGGGCACCAGGTGCCCCATGAACAAGGCAAGGCCAGCAGTGGGTGCCCCTGGGCAGTGCCTGGGCCTGGCAGGACGTGGCTGAGAGCCCAGGCTTGTCTGGTCAGGGGGAGACCTCGCCAGGCCTCAGACTGGGCCTCTCCAGGGCTGTGTCCGGTCCCCTGCTGAGGGGGCGGGGTTCAGGTCCTGGGAGGGCTCCTGGAACCTCTCTGCAGGGAAGTCAGGCCCTGCCTCCAGGGCGCCGTGAGCGCCCCCAGTGGGTGAACCCCCAACCTGGACTGTCCAGGAACACTAACTATGCAGACGCTTGGGGAGAGCACCGCCCCTCTCTGCCTGCCCCCCCATTTGAGACGTCCTCTCTCTATCCTGCCCCTTCCCTCTCTGTCTCTCCCTCCCCCCTCCCTTCTCTTCCCTCCCTCCCCGGCTTCTCCCTCCTCACCCCTCCCGGGAGGCGGAGCCTGGGAGGCCGGAGCCCGGGCGTTCAGAGCTCGCTGGCCCGCGGACCAGTCCCAGTCGCCTTCCCCTCGCGCAGCGGCCTGGGCAGCGGCGAGCTCGCGGCCCCGGCTGGGCAGTTGGCACCATCCTGGGTCCCTCTTCGCGTCCCCCTGGTCCCCGTGTTCCGAGTGCTCCCGCCCCCATGGAGCAGCTGCTGCGCTCTGAGCTGCGCACCGCCACCCTGCGCGCCTTGGGGCGCTCCAGCGGGGGCTACATCAGCGAGGGGTACTCCTACGACACCGACGCTGGGCCTGTGTTTGTCAAGGTCAACCGCAGGGCTCAGGTGCGGGACCGGAGAGGGGCGGATGGCGGGGAATGGAGAGGGCGTGGAAAGGGGAGAGGGGGCGGATAAAGGGGATGGGGCGCGGGCACCAGTGGCCTTTGCTGCGTCAGGGCTGGCGCCACTGACCCGGGGCAGCCAGTGGCCTTGACCTGGACACCTGCAGGCCACAGGGCTCGAGCATGTTCTGCGGGATCCCCTGCAGTATTCCACCCGCTGCAGGATTAATTCTGGTCCTTTTACCTCCGTTGTTTGGTTCAATGTTTCCACCCACCGAGCTTGGGGGAGGTGAGGCTTGGAGACTGGGCTGCTTCTGCCACTCTCTTGCCCCCGTTCTGAGGTCAGGTTTCCCCAGGCTCCAGTCCTCTTCACCAGGTGCGAAGAGGCAGAAGGAAGCCAGGACCCCTGGCACCCCAAGGGCCAGACTCCAGTCCCCTCTACTCACAGGCCCTGCTTGTGTTTGGATCTGGTTTTCGTCCCCTGCTCACCCTATTTCTGTTAAATACACACGGATAAAACACTTTACAAGCAGAGACAGTTAGCCTGGCCGATGTGGCTCTGTGGTTGAGCGTTGACCTATGAACCAGGAGGTCACAGTTCAATTCTCCCTCAGGGCACTTGACTGGTTTTTGGGCTCCATCCCAAGTGTGGGGCATGCAGGAGGCAGGTGATCATTGATTTTTTTTTTTCCCCTCTCCCTCTCCCTTGCTCTCTGAAATCAATTTCAAACAAAACAAAAAAACCAGGTGGAGAGTTAGCTACAGAGCATATACCCAGCAGTGATGGGGTGCTGCCTGTGGGCTGGTGGGATCCAGAGAGACCCGTTTGGACACCCTGCAGCGCTGTCCACAGCCGGGTGGACGGGGTGGGGGCTGCTGCAGCATCCCTGCCCGGTGGGCACCAGAACTGTGGAGTCTGAGTTTAGAAGGACAAGCCCCGCCCACAGGAGCCCATTTTCAGTCACCGGTGGTCCTGGGTGCTATGACCCCGTGCGGTGGCTTCTGTGGAGGCTGTGAGCCGCAGCCTGGCTGCAGAGGCCCCTGCGGAGCGGGAGCCCACGGTGGTGTTCTGGACACAGGCCCGGCAGATGTTTGAGGGGGAGGCGGCAAGCCTGGAGGCCCTCCGGAGCACCGGCACAGTGCGGGCCCCTCGGCCCATCAAGGTGATCGACCTGCCCGGGGGCGGGGCGGCCTTCGTGATGGAGCACCTGAAGATGAGGAGCTTGAACAGGTAAGGGTGTGTGTGTGTGTGTGTGTGTGTGTGTGTGTGTGTGTGTGAGAGAGAGAGAGAGAGAGACAGAAAGAGAGAGAGAGAGAGAGAGAGAGAGCAGCCTCTTGCTGAGCTGCCCACATAACTCGGTGGAGGTACCAGGGTCAGGGTTCCCACCTGTCATTCTTTTTTTAGTATATCTTACTGATTTCAAAGAGAAAGGGAGAGGGAGAGAGAAACATCAATGATAAGCCTGGTTGGCCTGGCTTAGGTGGACAAGCTCCTGTGGGCGGGGCTTGTCCTTCTAAACTCAGGTCAACCTATGAATCATGGTTTGATTCTCAGTCTGATTCCTGGTCAGGGCACTGCCTGGGTTGTGGGCTTAATTCCCGGTAGGGGGCGTGCAGGAGGCAGCCAAACAAGGATTCTCTGTCATCACTGATGTTTCTCCCTTTCCCTCTAACTCTGAAATCAATAAAAAATATATATATTTAAAAACCCTCAAAACTGGGAGATGGTTTTTTGTTAGTTTGTTTTTATAGCAAAGGTGGAAATTTATTGAAGAACAAGCACAGACTCCCACATGGAGGGGTAGGGGGGGAGAAGAATCATCTGGGAGATGTTTTTTTAAAATACATTTTATTTATTTATTTATTTTTTATTTTTTAAATTAGTTCTATAACAATATTTATTTATTT